TTTTCAATTTTTATTGTGATTTGGGTGACAGTTTACAGAGAAAATTCATTTTCCATTCAGCAGTTCACATACACTTTGTCTCATGACATTGACTGCAATTTCCCACAATGCAACAGCTCCCCTCCTACTTCTTCCCCATAGGTACCTCTTCCCTATGTCCTTCCCTCCCATGCACCCCTGCCCCCTGAGCTGTCTCCTTGTGGTTACACAGCCCTTCTATTCTCCCATGATTGATCTCTCCAAGGAATGTATCTACCTAATGTAAATGTTCAGCTTATATGCCTGTCTTTTGTTTGGCTGGAAGCCACAGGAGTGGGTTCAATTCTAGACCTGAAGGGTACTCAGGGGTTCTACCAGACTCTGTCAGATCAGCAAACGTGGTCCCATCTTTTGTTTTTCGTTTTTTATGATTTTGAGTTTTGTTCCACATTGTTCTCCCACTCTATCCAGGATCGCCTACGTAGATACCCCTACAACTGGTTGACAGTGGTGGCTGGGCACCATCCAGTTCTTCTGATCTCATAGTCATATCGGCTAAGGATCACATGGTGTACCAGTCCTGGGGACTAATTGTTTCCACGGGTCTTTGGTTTTCTTCATTCTTGTTTGCTGTGGATGAGGAGAGACCCATCGTTTCACTTACCAAATCTTTTCCCTACTCATTTTAGAAATGGATAAATATTCCGATTGTATTGATGTCCAATTCAATAGAACTTTTTTAGAGTCCTTTGTTGGTGGCATATACTGATGCTGAAAAGGACTAAATAACTAATCCAGTGAGTGAAAGTTTAAAAAAAAAAACAGTGCATCTTGAGTCTTTTTCAGAGAAAAGATAGAAACATTTATTGAGTGCCTATTCCTTTTCAGGCACTGATATGGATTGAATTATGTCCCCCAAATAGATGTGTTGTGATCCTGATCCTATTACCTGTGGATGTAATCCCATCTCAGAATAGGAGTTTCTTTGTTATATTAATTAGACCATATTAACGAGGGTGTGTATTAAAACTTAACTACTTCTGAGTTGTAAAAAGAGCAGATTAAAAACAGAAGGAAGTACAAACAGGGAAAGACAGATTCTACAGAAGTATCACCAAGAAAACAAGGAAGGAACATCAAGGCTACAGATGCTGAAAGAGAAAAAGATCTCCCAGATCCAGTGGCTAGAGAGCATTTTCCTAGAGCCCAGGCCCTGAATTCAGACTCCTAGCCTCTTTAACTGTGCAAAAACAAATTCTGTTCATTAGAGTCACCACTTGCATTTCTGTTATAGCTGCGCCAGGAAATTAAGACAGAATTTGGTAATGAGAAGTGTGGTTGCTGCTCTAATGAACCCCTAAAATGTGTAATGGGTTTTGGAATTGGGTAAGGGACAGAGGCTAGGGGAATTCTGATTAATCTGAAAGTAAAATCCTACACTGCCTTGAAGAGACTTTTGGTAGAATTATCGAAATTAAGGGAGATTCTGATGAATGCACAGAAAGAACTGAACACTGTGAGAGAAGCTGCTATTGCCATGAACATGTTGTTTCTAGAAATATGGACACTAAAAGTTCTTCTGCTGAGGCTGTAAAAGGAAATGGTGAACATGTAAGAAGGATGAAACTTTTTATAAAGTAGCAAAAAACTTGTCTGAACTATGTTCAAATGTTTGATGAAAAGGAGGGCTTCTAAATGATGAAGTCAGGTATTAGGCTGAGGAGATTTCTCAATGAAATTTTGAAGGGGCAGTGTGGTTTCTCCTTGCCACACTTGTCAGGAGGAAAGAGATACACTTAAAAATATGCATTTGAGCTGAATGCCTAACACATAAGAGCTAATATATAATATTACTATGCTTTTCCCAATTATAAAGGAGGAGCTATGTAAACATAGCTATTTAAGACTTCCTTTTTAATGAAATAAGACCACTACATCTTTAAGGAGAAACTTTATTTAAATCTTAACAAATAAAATTTAAATAAATTCAAACAAAATATTAATAAAATGTTTAACTAGACAGACAAGGCAAAGCTTAAAAAACAAAACAAAAATTCTGCAGTAGTTACTACTAACAAAGCCATTCTCCTAAGTAGTATCATATATTTGTGATAACCTATATTTTTCTATTTTATTTTAAACATTATATTCAAAATACACCAAAATAGATTCCTGAGATATAAGTAAATGTGTTAACAAATTGTTTAGCAAAATAAATCTTCCCAGCTGATTGAAAACATAAGATATTTAAAGGAAGAGCAAAGATCCCAGATCTGTATATGTACTCATATCACTATAAACAGTCAATGTGAGACTTATTTTGTTTTAGGCACATATCAATTATTATTATTATTATTTTTAATGACAACTTCTTATGGTTACTTGCTCACAATTTTCTCAAATACTCTGTGGGTTGGGGCAAGATTCATTTGTTTAAGAGCTGTCTGACTGGCCACATCTATGGATCCACAGTTAGATCTGTACCATCTCTGGAACCCTTTCCTAAAACAAGAGAAAGATTTTAAGTTAAGAAAAGAAAAAGAAACATAAGAAAATTACATGGATACAACCATAAAGCATTTGATGTCCTCTAAAAAGGTTGGGAGGGAGCTCTGGTAGCATAGTGCCTAAGGCACTTGACTGTTAACCAGGAGGCTAGCAGTTCAAAACCACCAGCCACTCCTTGGAAGGAAGATGGGGCAATCTACTTCCGTAGTGATACTGCCTCAGAAACCCAAGGAGGGGTCGCTATGAGTCAGATCCAACTCGACAGCACATAACAACAACAACAAAAAGGTTGGGGCAGGCAGCTGATGAGTATTCTAATTTCTATGGTGAATTATTTCTATAGAATTAATTTTTTTCCTCTTAAGTATGTATTTTGATTCTCATGTGGTAACTATTATCAAAAAGAATTTCTCTGAAATATGAAATTGCCATATTTTCTACTTTACTAGGACAATGTTAATAAAGTTTATAAAAAATTGGTTCTTTGACCTCTGTTTAGTGTGTCTTTTCACATACTAAAGCCACCAAGAGCTAATTTCATTCTTACCATGCCTCACTTCTATGAACCAATGTGCTATTTAAGAGAAATATCATAAAATAACCAGGAACATTCAACATACTTAATTTTGTTATGTATAGTCCAAAAACCAAACCCACTTATAGGACAGAGCACAGTTGCCCCATCGTGTTCCCCAGGCTGTAAACTTTACAGAAGCAGACTGACTCATCTTTCTCCCATGGAGTGACTGGTGGGTTCGAGTCACTGACTTTTTGGTTAGCAGAAGAATGCTTTAGCCACTGCACCACTAGAACTCCTTATTTGTCATGCATATAAACTAAAATCAGAAACAAATTCCAAGAGATTATTTAACATACAAAGATCATTTAAACATATGACTTAACTGACCCCAAGAAAATGGTTTGAAATCCTTTAAATAAGGCATTTATCAGATTCACAATTTCATTTTCAAGCTTAATTAGGTCAATAAACAAATTTCCTGTGATATTTTAAGAAATCTCCTTGGTTATCACCATAAGTTTATTTAGTATTTTTAGCTAAGGCATCTTTTTTTTTTTTTCCCCTCTACTCCAGGAAAATTAATATATCATTTTTGTTTGAGAAGTTCAAGGTGATGGTATCTCTAAGACTTGATGATTCTGAGTGACAAAGGCATTTTGTTTGAAAAACACAACTTACCTTTAATTGCAGTATCATCCAGCGACATGAGGTAAAGATCTTTTCCCACTGTTTGGAATACAGCCTAACAAAAGAAACAACTGGATTAGTCCCAATTTTTTTATTACTAGTGCAAAACAATTAAAATTAAAAAGGGAACCATAGATAACTCAGGGAAAAAAAAAGGTAAACAACAAAAAGTATTCCAAATAAAACTGATTTTATAGTTAAGAATCACCTCAAGTACATTTTCTGTTATTCAATACTAATTTCCCTGGAACACCTGCACTGACCACTCTTTACAGAGAATAGTACCCTTTGTTCAATTTTTAACTTTCAAGTCCCTGAAAAAGGGCTGCTATTTAAATACATCAGGTGGGCCACAGGTGTTATATTAAAGGCTTAATACCACCATCAGTCGCTGTCAGGTTGATTCTGACTCATAGCGACCCCATGTGTGTCCGCAGAGTCGTGCTCCAGAGGGTTTTCTGTAGCAGACTTTCTGGAAGTGGATAGCCTGGCCTTTCTTCCAAGATGCCTCTGGATGGACTCAAATCTCCAACCTTTAGTTCGCAACCAAGTGCATTAACCATTTACACCGCCCAAGGACTCCAAAGACTTAATGAAGAGGGTAATTTTCCCTAAGTTCCTTTCAATAACTAATAGCATCATTTCCACGCATGATGTGATACAGAAATTAATGAAACATACTTATGATGAAATTAAATAGCTCAGATGAGAAAAAAAAAACTAAGAAAAGGGTTATCAGAAAGACTCTCAGATCATGGTGATCTGATATATAATTTTTTAAAAAATTGCTTAAATTTGAGGAGGGGATCATTCAAATTACATTTATAACCAAATCAAAAAAATTTAAAGCCTCACTCATAAGTAGTTTCCAGTATTAATTAGCTTAGTTAAAGCCAGTGGTTCTTGTATCTGTATTATTTTATGTTCACTTCTTTACATAGTCCTACATGGTCCTCTTCTATGTGGCAGGTGTAGGAGAGTCCATCCAAACAGGATCCTGCACGTATATAAATATGTGAAAGCTTCAAGGTGAAAAAGATTAGAATGTAATAAATTATGGCACAATAATATCAAGCAATATTATACAGCTATCAAAAATTATTTATGGTGTTCGGGTACCAGCCAAGATGAAGTAATGTGATGACAGCTTCTCTCTTCCATTGATTACAGCTATATATTCTAGATAGAATACAAAAAAGCAACTACCTGAAGACTCTGAAAAGTAAATGGACAGATTGAGGACCAAAGTAAACACTTGAATAACATAATAGACTTTAATAACATAACAGAAGTGAGTTTCACCTTTTCTTCCCTTTTGTATCACATCATGGAGCTCTCACAGTGTACGGCCTAAGGCATTTGACTGGTAAGCAGGAAGCTGGCAGTTCCAACCCACCAGCCACTCCTCGGAAGGAAGATGGCAGTGAGTTTGGTTTATTGGTTTTGGTTTTGTCTCGTGGTTTTGACCAAAGAGTGGACCAAATTCAGAACTGTATACCAAAAACCCAAAGCAAACCCACTGCCATCGATTCAATTCCTACTCATAGTGACTCCATTGGGCTTCCAAGGCTGTACATCTTTACAAGGTAGATTGCCCCATCTTCTTCCCACAGAGCAGCTGGTGATTTTGAATCACTGACCTTCTGGTTAGCATTCAAATGCCTTCCCACTATGCCACCAGAGGTCCCTCCAGAATTGTACAGGTGACAGCAAAAACTCGGGAACAAACCCTCTATCTTTAGCCAGAAGGTAAGAAAAAGGGGCTCCTGGATGCTAGAGACTGAGTGGATCCCCAAATTGTGTTTTCTGTTTTATCTTCTAGCCCTGCCCTGAAGGTAGGCACAGCCACTGCCTGGGAGCAGCTGTGGTAATACAAATCCCAAACAACCAAACTCTGCAATTACATTGATTCTGACTCATAATGACCCTATAGGACAGAGTAGAACTGCCCCATAGGGTTTCAATGCTGTAATCTCCACAGAAGCATATCTTTCTCCAGTGGAGCACCTGGTGGGTTCGGACTGTTGAACTTTCAGTTTGAGGCCAAGCACTCAACCACTGCACTACTGAGGCTCCTTAGCGGTAGTGCAAACCAAAAAAAAAAAAATGAACTCACTGCTATCAAGTCTATTCCAACTTACAGCAATCCCCATAGGGTTTCCAAGGCTGTAAATCTTTGCAGAAGCCAACTGCCTCATCTTTCTTCCATATAGAAGCCAGTGGGTCAGAGGCACCAACTTTTTGTTTAGCAGCCAAATGCCTTAACCACTACACCAACAAAGCGGCTCCTAAAAGTCCAAGAGAAGACTTAATCCCTCTACCCAGTAAAGCTGGGAACTGCAGGCTCTGTTGTCTGGAGAGCTTGTGGTAGTGAGAATTCTCATGACTTTTTTCTCTCTATTTTTTCCATCTGCTTCACCCTAAAAGCAGGCTCAATTATATGGAAAGACCACTCCTTGGGTTTCTGAGGGGCTATCTCTATGGAAGTAGATTGCCCAATCTTCCTTCTGAGGATTGAACAGTCAGGTTTCTGGTTAGCAGTCAAATGTCTTAGGCACTATGCCACCAGAGCTGCCTTTTGGTTGGGGTTTTGGTTTACACAACAGCACAGAGGGAAACCATGAGAGAAACAAGCTTGCTGGCCAGAGGAAAGAGAAAAAGGGGCCCTTGGGAACTGGAAAAAGAAAATCCTGGCAGTCAGAACTGTTAGGCCGAAGCAAACCTAAGCCACCAACATTTCAGTTAACAGCTTCCTCCGGGTGTCAAGCCCTGATGAGACAGCCTGATAAGACAACCAAAGTGACAGAACCCACCCAGACTGGAAAGTCCCATGCAGTGACAAACTTCCTCTTGTGAAGCCCCCTCATGCTAATTAAGTATAGACCCATGCTAACAGCTAATTGGACCCCACCATTTCCTTAGTGTCCCCACTTAGTTCCTCCACAAGACTATAAACCCTACCTCCCCAGCCAGGCGGTGCAACTTCCCGGGCCCCCCTCAGGGACCCGTGAATCTCGCCCGGGCCCCTCTCAGGGACCCGTAAACCTCCCCCGGAAACTCAGAATAAAAACTTCTCTTTAACCTCACTTTTGTGCATCCTCTTTTCCTTAGTGTGGCCTTGCAAGAACATGTGGAGAAAATCTCAAAGAGGAAAAAAATTCACTGCCGTCGAGTCAGATCTGACTCATAGTGAGCCCTCCTTGGGTTTCTGAGGTAGTATCACTATGGAAGTAGATTGTCCAATCTTCCTCCCAAGGAGTGGCTGGTGTGTTTGAACCACCAGCCTTCTGGTTAGCAGTCAAGTGACTTAGGCACTATGCATTTGAACTCCTAGTACTTTATATGAAGCCATGGTGGTACAGTGATTAAGTACTCAGCTGCAAACCGAAAGGTCAGCAGTTCAAATCCACCAGTCACTCCACAGGAGAAAGATTTAGCAGTCTGCTACTGTAAGGATTTACAGCTTTGGAAACCCTAATGGGAAGTTCTACTCTGTCCTATATGGTTGCTATCAGTCAGAATTGACTTGACAGCAATGGGTAATACTTCATATGAACTGCTGTAAGTTCCAGGGTCATCCCTGAGCTCTGCGTGTGCAAAACAAAACCATGTAGGCATAGCAAAGTCTTCAACAACTGAACTACAATATATATAAATCACTGTCCAAGTCCCAGAATAACCCCTGAGTGGCTCATGTGCTGGGAAGACCAAAACAACATCACAAAGGTTTTTCAGACTAAACTGACATTGGAACCACTTAAAGAGAGATAAAACTTGCAGTCTGAACGTAATTGAGTTGATTGCCTGATAAAACAAAACTTCCAATATTTTCCAGAAGATTTTAATAAGACCAAAGTTACAATGTAATATTTGAAAGGTTCAGGATAAAATTCACACTTACTCAATATATAAAGAATCAAGAAAATCTAACGATTTCTCAAGGGAAAGGATAATCAACAGACACAAACCCTGAGATGACCAAATGTTGGAACTATCAGACAAAATTATAAAAGCAGGAAGGGAAGTTAATTCCAAAAAGGATAAGCTCAAACAACCAGAGACAACTATGACCAAGTATGTAGATGTTGTTGGGTGCTGTTAAGTTGATTGCAACTCATAATGACTCCATGTGACAGAGCAGAACTGCTGCATAGGCTTTTCCTGGCCGTACTCATTACAGAAGCACATCACCAAGTCAGTGGGTCGCAAAGCACTTAACCATTGTGCCATTAGAGCTCCTAAATATGTCAATGATACACTTATATTCCATACAAATTTTTAAAATTACTAAATAAAAGCAAATTGGTAACCTGGTTTGTGTGGGGATGAGCAGATTACATGTCAGTATTATTTCTCCCCTTTAACTTTGCCATATTTTTCAGATTTTCTGCACCAGCAATTTATTTTTCAAAAGTCATGACATCAAATAATTTTCATTTTCTTAATCCCAAAGTGAAATTCAAGTATTAAAGCATTAATAATTAGTTTGTCCTAACATCGAGAAACCTTGATTTTTTAAAATTGTTGTTGTTACATGATAATATTTTTCTCAATTATCCTAACACAAGGACTTCGGGAATAGTTTTTTAAGTTACCATTCAAAATGAAGAGCAATGCTCTCCTTAATTAACAATAACATAATTTTATACCTCAGATGGACTCTTATCAAAGCTGGGTATGCCATTCCAGACATTCTCAGGATCTACTATTTCCTCCACACCATTTGAAAGGTTCAAAACCTTTAAGATAAAAGAGAAAATTTAAAAAAACGTTAGCAAGTTCCAAAAACTGTAACTAATTTATATACCACAATAATTCTTGTTTAAATAAAATATTTCATTTAAATATGAAAATTATTTTATTAAGCTTCAATCTTATGTTTAAACTCAGTAGTACTTACTGCAACATATTATATTGAGCATCTATCTCCGGAGCTCAAAGAAGGATAAAATTTAGATCTTGCCTCTAGAATTTCAAAATCTAGTGGAGAAACACACCTCTAAGCAGGTAATACAATGCAAATACAAAGTACAGACTTCTACAGGAGGAGGTAGAATAGTAATATATAGGTAAAAAGCTCTTTTGCTGAAAGAGGGTGGCAATGGGGAGGTTTAGAAAATAGTGCTAGTGAATGGTTTCTGGAAGAAACTTTAAAGATAACTAGGAGGTAACCAGTTTGAGAATGGGATGGAATGGCAAATTGAGCTGCGTTATTGAAGACACTGAAGTAATCAAACCAAGTGGTATATATATAAGAGAACTCAAAAAGTTTAATGTGCACCTAATATAAAGTACAAATATAACATAGGAAGATGTAGGGCTGAAGAAGTACATGGAGGCTTGACCCTAG